AAGCTGCACGTTTTCTCGATGATTCTACTCGAACGGGAAAGGCCGGATGAAAGACCTCCTCCCCTTATCGTCGAAATGCGGAAAGCGAGTCTCCGGTCTCTTTAACTCGATTCTCTCCCTACGGGGGGGATAGGGGCGAGGGGAAGGGCGGGAGGACGTTCCATTCGAAGATACATACATGCGAATGGAACGTCCGCCCTCCGTTGGACGAGAATCGATACCTGCGCGAGGACAGTCTGCGAGGGATCAAGAGAGAATAGCCGCGTATGTGATATGCCTCCCGTAAAAGAAGAATGAAAAATACTCACAAAATGATATGTCACGACTCCGCGATCGCGTCCCCCAGGTACATCTCGGCGGAATTCTTCAGTGAGTGCGATCCGGTTGCAATCATTGAAGAATTTTGCCGAGATATGCGTATTTGTTGCGAATGACGCGCTGGCCGAATCGATTAATTCGTTCGTTTGCCTCTCGAACGAAAGCTCATCTCGACGAGATCCCGCGACAGTTTTGAATTCACGAGTCGTGGATTGTCGCTCCTCGCGAAAACTGCAAGTATCGCAGATACTTTCGATGAGAACGAATACTTTTCCGCGAGTGCAACGTGCCTTTCTGTTGCGTCACTCGTAAAGAAATTACCCGAAACGCCTGCGAAGGAATGCGGACCGAGGAAAAGATCACGAAGAAATTTTGACAGCGACTCGCTGAGGAATTCAATTAACTATAGGACCTCGATTACGAGGCAGCTACCTGATCTCGAGTTCGCGTTGCCTCTGAAAGAGTTTTACGAACGTGGAGATTGCCTGTTCGAAGATTTCGAGAGAATTGGGACGATCGATTCTCGACTGAGGGAAAAATAGACGACCGAAAGGTGCACGAGAGATAAAAATCGCGATAATTGTCTAATTGTAAAACTGTATACGTAACTTTTAATCTCTCTACGGGATCCCTTGATTCTGGCACTTATTACACTTATCGAGTCCATTCTACATAACTTCGGTAATCCCATCTACCGATCATTGAGAAGAGAATCGCGAGTTCTCGAAGCCGAAACTTGCAATTCAAATATTCTCTATTAGTTTTGCATATACCATTAAGAAATAATGCACGTAAGATTATGCTACTAATGTGTGCGTGTGTGTATGTATTTATGTGTGCATGTTATATACAGTAATTCATATTTCGCTAATATTGGCACTTGGAGTTTTCATTTATCTGACAAGTCGAGAAAGAGTGAGAAAGAAAAAGCATGAGATAGGGAAAAAAAAGAGAAAAAGAGAGACGCAGTTCGAGCGGTGTTTGGACCTTTTGAGTATGGATACGATCGCGTCTGCGAAGCATCGCTCATCCGAACACCGGACGGAGCACGACTCGATGACGTCTAAGGGTGATTCTGGAGGCAGTATCGAGCATGTGTGTATGTGTGTGTGTGTGTGTGTGTGTGTGTGTGTGTGTGTGTATGTACAACACGCGTTTACAAATAAGGGCACTGGTCTTCCGCTCGATGCATTGCGCACCAGCCTCCCGGCTATCTGGACGTCGAACAAACACCGTTGAATCGTCGTATCTTACGAGCGAAGTGAAGCTTCAATTACCGAAGAGGAATAATGCCGGTCTACCGAGATTGGCGAGGAAAGTTTCTCCTCCAACAGAATCGAACGGCTCCCCCTTGCCCCTCCCTCCCTCCCCTCGCGATTAACGGGAACTATTTTCTAAGTTTTTGATTCTCTTCCGCAGAGCAGGCATATATAACTTTCAGGACTTTCGTTTGTGTGCGAGACACTTCCGTATGAAATGTGTGTTTATACACTCTGCAAACCGAACGCGAGATCTTGCAACGTTCTGTCGAAATGATAGAGTGAGAAAGAGAGAGAGAGAGAGAGAGAAAGGAGAGACAGAGAGAGAAAGAATAATGCCTTTTCTTTCGAGAACAGCGATCTCTACTAATAATCTGTCTTTCCTCGCGAAACGATAACGGAGCGACAATTAAGATGCGAAACGTTAAATGCTAAGCGCGACCTTAAGAGCACTTACTTTCGCGACTACCCAGGGCAATACCCTAACGTGTCGTTTCCGAATTTAAGGAAGGCGAAACGAGCACGCGCGCGAAAGAAACCGGTCTGTTTGCGTCTCGTTTAAGTTAAGCCGCGCGCGTTACACACAATATCGTTTATTACCGTATTTCCTATTATTTGAACATCGTTTCGGTTCAGTTTCTTTGGCACTGTTTATATTCTTTCTGCCGGCCGGGTTGTTAAGACGATCGATTGGTCGGTCGACGGAGGACGAGAGTGTGCTTAATCATCGAACGTGCTTGCCGAAGCTCACGTAATAAACTCATAGCTATAACATCGCCTACCGATTTACAACGTAATCGTAGAGAACATTATTTACAAGTGGTTACAATTTACAAAAGGGCACTGACTGGTATAAACGTGGTAACTACGGACCTGAAAAAAAAAAAAAACGCTCGATACTCGGCCGCGAGTCTTTACCGAGGCCGATTTTTATGCGTCAATATCGGACTTCTGTACGGCACGGCGTTATCAACGAGAAGTATTGCAGCCGGGCTGATAAATATATACGACCGTTGGTCGTATTCGTGACAAAAATAGTACGTGTAAACGAAAATGAAGAAAAGAAAAAAATACAGACAATATTTTGTATCTATTTACAACATTTTTTTTATGCAAGATGACTTGGTTCAGAAGAGTAAAAACATGTATCTATAATCACGAATGTAACGACCCAACACTGGATTTCTTCGTCTTTAAATAAGACCAATAAGAAATTTGATTACATTCGAATTTGCAATCAATTGTCTGCACACGTATATATACGCATATTGATTTAATACTCGCGCTATTGAAATATTTATATACATAATATTTATATAAATATTTAGATGTGGATGGTACCAATATATTGTCAGCCTAGCTTACATACTAATATTCAACGTTGTGTGCCGTTTAATTAGGTCTTTCTCTTTTCCGACCATACAATATTTCCTCGACAATATTTCGCGTAAAGACTCTAACCGAAGTACCGTCTCTCGTACATTACGCGTTCTAAAAAAAAAGAGTTCGCATGGTGCAACGCGCATTGTAACATTACGTGAGATTATTTATATCTACAATGACTTTTTCGCAATGTGTCGTATTGCACAACTACAAGAGAAATTCTATAATATCGCTGTTTTGTAATAAAAAGTTAATTCAATAACAATGAATTTTTTAACACTCATTATTCTGTGTTTGTGTGTGTGTAAGTGTGTGTATGTGTGTGTACATACATACATATATGTATATATATATTAATCCACTATAAATAACTAGATATAAAACAAAGAGAAATCGATAAACAACCCGGAATCGTTTAATATTCAAGCAGTCGTTTCGCATTTATAAACTCAACTAACAACATCGGATAGTAATATAATTATTGCGTGTTTCACTGAACAGTGTATACATATATATATATATATATATAATGTATTAAAAAGAAAAAGAGAAAGAAACGTAACTTGTTAAACGATATTCTAAACTGTTATATTGCTGATCGTAAGTCGTTTGAATTTAATAACATCGCACGATAATTCTATGAGTTGTGCTTAGGAACAACGTAATAAGAGGAAGATCGCGAACGCGGGTGACGATAAAATTTCTTTGCGAGAAATTAAATAGCGTAATACGATTTCATCATTAACATATTCGGCAGACCGTTTTTAAAATTTCTAAAACTTCTTGTGTTTTTATACATCTAGCAAATGTGCCTCTCTTTTTTCTTTACACCCACGGCTCGACGGATGGCTTCGGGCAAAAAATATACGCAGTAAAAAAAATGTATTAATGAGCAATAGAAAGACTAGGATTGTCCGGAGGAAGTAACGTCGCGAGTACCGGAGTTAATCGTTTAAAATGTACAAGAATAATTAGACGTTCGATCGTTAAAAAGACGTTTCAGAAATTACGTTAACTTTTGTAAGGCATACAAATAAAAAATTATAATAATAAATTGATAAATTTCAAAAAGATACTAATACATACGTCGTAAAAATTTTGTATATTGTTTGCTGTGATACGTGTGAAATATAACAAATTCGTTAGATAATATATCTGATATGTAATATATTTATACGATATTTGAATAAATAATTTTCAATGATATTCCAAGTACAACAAACAAATAAAGTGTCAAAAAAATTTGGCACCGTGGACTTCCGTGCAAATTTAATCGAAAAGATCAACTCGGAAATCCTATCTCAAATCCTATCTCCTGTACTTTGATGTACGCAGATGTCTTCTGCAGTTTCTTTATTCGTTTGAATAATAATGTAATAACAATAATAGAGCAATAATTACGAATATTACTAAGTTATATTATTATTATTATTAATTATAATTGAGAACAAAAGTATTTTTTATAGTATGAGACTGTACACAACACATGATATTGTCGTTTACTTATTAATGATTGACAATTATTATAAAAACTATTATTTCATATTAATCTTTTTTAAATTTTTCTCCTTTTTTTATAACGGAAAAATGGATTGCGCTGAACGCTTATTTCTTTATTACTCATCAATAATTAAAATTTAAAATCATAAAAAGACCAGCATGTAACGCACATGCTACATCTTTTTATAGTCCAAACCGCTGTGGAATCAGGGTGATTTGGCCTCTAAAAAAAGACTCTCACCAGTAACTTTAAATCATATACAATACAATTTCATCTGCTTGAGTTGTTTCTTTTGCGCGGTCAATCGATTTTCTTTGTTGCTCTTTTCTTTCCCCTCAAGGCTGTTTATCGTCTCGTTTCTTTTTGCTTGTCAACCGACCATACTCTATCGGATAATCAATACGCTATCATATAGAACGTATCAGCGAAGGAAAAAAAGAACGAAGAAGTAACAAAGAATCTTAAAATCACGAAGTACTATATGGTCTCTCTCTCACATATAGAAAGGTAACCTATTTTCATTTCTTTTTTTTTTTTAAGCCCTTTCTCAAGTTGCGACGAGCAACGCACGAATCGCGCGCGAGAGATTCGTGCCAGCTCATGGATAAAATTGTATATGTTATAAGTGTCTTGCGAGCCAGTTTTCTTTCCTCCTTCCGGCGGACAAAAAGAAACCCGGACGTGGCACGCGGTAAGCCTTATTATCTCTTGGACCCTCTTCTCACAATCATATCATTTTTTTTTGTTACTTTTCTCTTATTTACGTACTCTTAAAGTGGACGACACACTTGGACGTGCGCACGGTAAGTAACTTATTACAGAGTATAACTACTTCTTTCCGGTTGCGCCTTCTCTCTTCGATTTTCTACAACGTCTTCCTCGTCAGTCGTCACGGGACCAGCTTTAAAATCTCCATACGCCATCGCACACTTTTACTTTACGTTCGTAGATGGTCAGAATGCCCTTATTTTCCATGTCTCGATGGACTTCCGAATGGGTATGGGTCTTCTTGTTTGCCTATTTCTTGAATGTACTCGATTGTCATCAGCCTTCACCACTTGCAAAATAGTATTAGTCGAAGTTGGCGCGCGCGAGCCTTACCGTGATGACGAGAATCGGCGGGGTTGTCGCCGTCGTGGAAATCGTCGCCTCGTGCAACGGAGACGTGAGGAAGATTCGCAGGAAGAGTATTTCGCGTGCGATGCGTAATATTCACCGTCGCGAGATGCTTTACGATAAACATCGTACACGAGATCTTGCAACCTCGAGCCATTTGGAGTCGCTTGACTTTTTTTCGGCGATGGAACACAGGAACCATGTGGACCGTGAAAGATCAGCCTTAGCACTTGCCGCGGAAATGCAGTTTCTACGGCAACAACGTTGACAGTATCAAGGAGGAGGGGAGGAATAAGAGGCGGTCTTTTCAGTTTATGTCAGTAATGCCGATTGTCGATGCCTCCGGTGTTGTTGCTGCCGATGCCATTCACGGAGCCGGTGGAGCTAAGTATACCACTATCAATGCTATTCGCAGTCATTCTTTCTCGGAGCTCAGTCTCGTACTCCAAGATCAGACGTTTTATATGGCTCAGTTTATTGTGCAGATAGTCGAACCGTTCCTTCATCTGCTTGTACACCCGATTCTGCTTAATTTCCTTGTACTCGCGAACTATCTTCTCGGTGGTTTCCTGGAAAAGAAAAATGCCACCGCATGAGCATTCCTTCTTGTCCAACTTTGTTCAACAAATGCGATATCATTTACGAATTATATAAGTTACACGATATACGTACCACGCTTTCGAGCACGTTGCCCGCTGCCTTTTGACTTTGCAATAGTGTATACAAATGCGTGAAGCGGTTCGCGATTACGAGCACTTGGGAGTGCAACCTGCAGTATTCATCGTAGTTCCTGGTGAACTCCTCTCTGTAGCGCCTTTTCTGCTCCTGACTGCTTATTGTTGTAAATTCCCTGGGCGAATCGTTTCACATAAATATTATATATCGATCGACAAATTATGTTGAATTAACTCGCGTAATAAAAAAAAACATCGAATTTTTCGTTGCTATTTAAAACTATTTCCGCGATTTAATAAGCTAATATACTCACGTGCGATAGTCGAAATATTGCCCGATGTTTCCCAGCCTTTCGAATCCGTCAATCGGCGGCAAGAGCGCGGCACTATCAATGGCATTATCGGCATAGGTAGGAGCGCTGCTGGAGGTTTCACCATAGATAACATCATTCACGATACTACTCCTATTCCTGGATTCCCTCTCTTTGTTTCTCTCTTCTCTCACGCCTCGACTCCTATCGCTCCTGTCTCTCACCCCGCTGCCCGCAGTTTCATTGGCCGCAATGACATCGTTCTGGTGGTAGTTGCCCCTTTCACTGTCGTCAGGCGACAACGGTGTCAAGCGCAATGATTGATTGGAATCGTTTGTTCTCACCGCGGCGATGGCGTTAGAGAGGGCGACATCACTGTAGACGTTTCCAGTACCTCGCGATACGTCACTGTTTGCTGTCCTTTCGGCCCGGTAATCGACGCGGCCGCTGCTGCTGCGTTCACGCTGCGACTGCTGCCTCGATTCCCAACCGTCGAAACCGCCGCCGCCGTTGTTACTATTACTACCACCACCACCACCACTATTGCTGCTACCACAACCACTGTTAACGGTACGATCGACACGGTCGCCACCGGCGGTTGCACTAACACCACTGTTATTATTACTATAACCGCTGTTGCCAGACACCCTCTCGCCGGCGGGGATGAAGGAGATGGGCTCGGGTTTCTTATAGTGCGATATCCGCGGTTTCTTCGTCGGTAGCCCGTCGTTACCCTGGTAGTATCCCGGCCGCTTGTTGCCAACCAAATTGGGCGGGGGTGCCGTGATTGCCGGCGGTGAGCCCGCGTGAATGGAATTGGGCGACTGACCGCTGCCTAAAGAGTATAAACACATAATGGAAGACGTGTTATTTAAAATAAAGTTTCGTATTCATGTATGCAAATGGCGCGTTGATAGCGGACTACTATATAGTATACAACGTACCGCTGGAACCGCCGTCACTCGAGCCGGGTGGCGTAAGGTTCTGAGGTTTCCGCCTCCTCAGCATTGTCCTCTCCTGCTCGGTATAGAAAGGCCAATCCTCCTGCACGTCGTTCCAGATGTGCCTTTGCAGATGGTACACGTTGTCGCGCATGTAAGCCACTTGCTTCAGAATCGTCGTCATGACGGGTCGCTCGCGATCCCTCAAACCCTCTGGAATTTGTATTAATGTCGACGTATTAATGTCGTCGTCAAATTCTATTCCAAGAAGATGAAAGAGCGATTCAAGATCTGAGAGCTTACCCTTATTGATGCGATCGTAGAGCTCGGGCTTCTTGTAGGGCCTCAAAGCAAGAACGTGGATAAGTCTTTCCCTGTTGCACAGAAAAAAAAATGCAAAAAACGCATTAAAATCTATCTATGAGAAGAGATTATCGGTCTTCGAATAAATTGTCCTCTTGATTTGTATTTTATTGAGCACTCGAATTTGACTTTGAGCTAACCTTTGTCTCATTGATCTAATGCAGAAGATATAGCTATATGTTTACTTTCTCTGTCTATATTTTCGCGGAGCATGACTTACTCTCTTATATCAATACACTTACTTAAGTGGCCTGCGCATAATGTCAGAAATTTTCTTCTCTCTCTCGATATTGCGAGCCGCCATTAGAAGGGTATAACCACTACTACTACTACTATTATTAGCGATGGACTTGTTGGTTGAAGCTTTGGACTGACTATTGCCGGAAGTTGGAATGCTCATCGTGGATTCCATACGGTGCCTTGCATACGACGGAGGAGGTATTGTCCTTCCGGTTCCTTTCACTTTCACCTTGCGTCCGATATCTGGACCGTTCGCCTTGATTACCCTCGTGCTGAAAGACCGACATAATTTCCATTTGAAATCAATGAAAATATATACCAGATATATATATCAGATATATGTATATATCAGAAAATATATATCAGATTCTAGTATGATAACTATTTTATTAAATAATGTCAAAAAAATTGGAAGAAAAATTTTAAGAATATAAAAAGAAGATAAATTCTTATTCTGCTTAAGACTTATTTAAAAATATTGGAGATATAAAACAAATTATATATGTATATACATTTCAAATATATTCATTTGTTAATTTAGGAGAAATACAGCAGCGTGATTTATTTCGTCGCGTCATTCGGCAAGGACAGCATACTCGTAGACAGCAGTATCTCTAATTTCCGGTGCTACTTATGTATATATACGAAACGATCTCCGTACGACACGGCCACGCCATACATCCGTACAATTAATGCAATTTGCAGCGATCGCTGACATAGGGGTCCGATCGATTGGACTAGTTATGCAATTTTCTTTGGCGTAAGCGCGCGCCGCGACAAAGCACTGCAACGGCGAAGAGAGGCGGAAAAGGGTGAACGGGCGTGACGAAATCGCACTTGTGAGGCGCTCTTAGCCTTGGCCGTGACGACGGCTAAACAAATTAGCTGCGAACGATTTAGAAATCGAATAACGGGAACCGCGGAAATTATCGGGATGGCTAATTGTAAGTCCGAATGAACAATAGGAGTGAATTAGGCAAAATCACAGATACTTCCTTACGTATAAATCGACGTGTTTATTTATTTGACGAAGGATCAAAGGTGACTTCCGAAACCGAGTGAATGAGTCTGCGTGGTGCCGTGACAGACAGCAGTGTCGGTGATTATTGCTAAATACAGCAACGCCGGAATAAGAGAAAATATTCCGCGAAATATGAAATTTAACTGATGATTCATTAAGGCCGTCAGACAATTGCAAAGTATAATCCCGAAAATTTGGAAAAACAGTCACTCGTATTTTCCGACAAATAACAGTTTTAGTAACATTGATAAACAGTGTTTTTTGCAACATGTAATACGACAATATCGATAAAACTGTCATTTATTCTGCTAAATGGAGCGGATACGCTCGTCTCCTGTAACGCGAGCGTATCTCTCCGCGCGTCTCTGAATATTTCAAAAATCCCTGAATATTTTTACACAAATAAACACAACAAATCGCATCCACGTTGCCCCATTCAAGGTACGCCCTAGGTCAGCTAAAGGTACATCCTCGGGCGGCGCGACGATTTTCCCGCCCGACATCGCGGCGATGTGTGCGCGCACGACGAGGCGTCCTCGTAAATTCCTTCGTGAATCGCGCGAACATCCGTTAGGAGAGAGACCGTATCTACGGGCGAAAGTTTGTAAGAGTAAGGCCACGACGCGAGGATTATTTACGGTTCCGCGGCGCGCCTCGCGCGCGAAGGAAAGTCCTGAAAACGGAGACAAGGGTCTTGCGGCGTCCAAAAGGGAGGACCCTTCCGCTCGGAGAATCGAGCGGTCCGCCGACGGCCGTATGTCCCGCTCCTCGAGGGAGCATCCTTACCATTTGTTCTTGTTATTCTCCTCGGCGACGGCCATTCTGTGCCTGGTGGCCTCGTAAACGTCATCGTTCGCCTGTATCCGCATCCTGTACGATATAGCGCCGAGGCTCTCGAGGCTCCTACGAGGCAGAAAAACAAGAAGACAATGAGAAGATGGAAAGGGAACGTTGCAAAAGGAAGATAATAAGAGGCAATTCTCTAAGCAATTCGATCCGCATCTTTGTTTCTAATTAAACTAACGAACAAGATTGCGCGATCGAAAGATATACATGACAGAATTAAGACGCGTCATATGATTTTGCCGAGGATATCATTATCGTTATTATATTCACATGCGATGTACGCGTTACGATGCTATTATGTCATATTGATGTACTATACTACGTGTGTAGAACGTACGGCGGTCCATTGTTGCGCGGAAAATAAAGTAAAGCGAGGCAGAAGTGAGTCGGCGAGCGCGCGCGCGCGCGCGAATCGACGGTCAATTTATCATCGCCGCGCGCCGCGCGCTGTTACGTTTTTAACGTCAATTCGTCAAATCACCGGATCGTATCTCGCCGGACGGCGGCGGTAAACGCTACCAGCAGTTAGCCGGTCGCTACTGAATCGGTTCTGCTGACGCAAGCATAAACCGTTCACGACGAGAGTGTAGCCGCCGCCGCCGCCGCCGCCGCAGTGTAGTCGACACCTGCTAGCTCACTAACAGCGCTTTAGTGTGTCAAGTTGCCGCGATAAAACCACCTGCTCAAGGATGCTCCAGAGTTTTTTACGTCGCGCGCGATTTAGATTGCGGATTACGTTACGGCGCTTACGACGGAAGATTACACGAAATTGCCGTATCGCGCACCGTGCCCATTTACCGCGGCATTATTTCTCAGTTATAGCGAATCTGATAGCCCCCGCGGTGACATACATAACGATCTCTCTCTATTTATCTATCTGTCCCTCCTGCAGACGCTAAAATGTAATAATAAAACGATGAGGGATTCGATCACGTGATCAACACGAATAATGGCAACGTAAAATTTAGTCTGCACGGAAAAAATTGCTACATGGATGTTACAACAATATTTTCTATGTTTGAAAAAGAAACGTTTGTGAATTTAAATTATATTGATATTATATTGAAATCTACACGGTTCTTGCAAACGTAGTCTTTATGATAAGTGACATTCGGTTAAAATATCTTTATATATGTGGTTGCCTCAATCGAAGCATTATTATTATCACTCTAATGTGATCTGCACAATAAATAGTATGTTGTGATATATATATATAGGATATAGTTGCACGGCACAACATTGAGACTGAGAGTTCAGTTAACTATATAGTCGCGTCCAAAGTATTTTAGTTACTATAACCCTTTTGAATTGATGGGCGAAAACTATCACAACTATTATGTTGTGGCAACAGTAATTTTTTTTCCGTACACAACTCTCTACTTCGATTTTGTCTTACATTACGATATAATGTGGCGTTTCGATATGCCGAACGCGTACGAACGTAATGCATAAGTTATCCCTCGTTATACACCGTAATTAATCGATACGTACTTAGGGCCGGTCTGCTGGGCAAGCTCGAAGCCGCCCTGGGAACCCTCCATGTCCTGGCTGCTGGAGATGCTGAAGTTGAATCTGGCCATTCCTTTGATGGATGGAATTCTGAGTTGCTGAAATCAGAGCGCAAAGCGCGCGCGGTTAGTAAGATTTCTCTTAATAAGATCGCATTAAATTACGAAACGACGATCTGTGCGGCCGCGGCGTGTCTGTATAACGTACAACGTCTCCGTGCACGATCCACCGTGTATATGTATATATATCTCTCTTTCTCTTCTCCTATAGTTTCTCGAGTATATACCTGACATATATAACACACAAAGTTCACCCGTGTATCTGTCCGGCTATCCGTTTAGTGCCTATACCTCGTCGATCGTCAATTTCACTCACTTTATCTCTTTATCTCTCCCTCTCGAAACTGAAAAGTTTTACGAAACAATAACGTGCTTTTCAACGCCTGTGTTTCTAAACTTAATTGTACTTCCAACCGTTCAATTTAACGAAATATCGAAAGTGCAGGCGTTCTCTAGTTTCACAACATACACTCGAATCAATGACGTGCATTAATGTCGCGATAAACCGATGTAAATTTAAATAAATAACACTGATGCATGAGCGTCTGAATATTAATGGGAGGAGACAGTAAGAGAATCCGATTTGTTTACCGCCGCGTAAGCGAACCGATGACATTTATGCGTTTTATATTGAATTATATATGGACCGCGAACGCGCCGTTCGTGGAGTATAATATATTCGCGATAACGTCGCTTATATCGGGCGACACAAGAGCCTCGGCTCCTCCGGTCCGCGTTTCTCTCTCGCACGGCCGGCTTGCGCATCACAGCCGCCGCGAGATCGATTCCTGATCGACTCGCTGTTGCGAAACGAGAACGTTTGCGGCGATGGGAGCGCGAAGCGTGTCGCCGTTTCGCGGAATTAGCGCGTAATTCGCGTAATAATCGCGGATAGAGCCTGTCCCCGACGACCGCCGATTATTGGGTACGACGCGGAGCAACCGCCGCCGCCGCCGCTGACGTCGAATTAGACCGCGGAGAAGATAATACCGGCGAGCGCTCATGTCTAGAAGTAAACAGATCCTAATCGGATTTGCCGCCGGTAGCGCGACGGTGACATTTCGATGACGCCGGCAGATTAGACGGAATTCGAGCGATCACTCGGATCGATGTAGTGTTGTCGCGCTAAGCGCTAACAATAAGTGCAAAGGGCACGTTAAGCGAGTCTCTCTATAACTTTTCAGGTCGGGCTTCGCGACGGTGACGGGAGAGTAAAGTCCCAATTGTGGTTTAATTCCCTCCTTCGGTAACGCTGTTATGCCATTTTTGTGCACAAGCACAGTCCAACCAGTAACCGTACATATATTCTCATTTAGTTTCTGTTTACGTTCCACTTGGTTCACGTATCCCGTTCTACGATCTGTTTTTTTTATTCCCCCCAGATCGGAAGAGCACACGTTTTTTTTGTTGCTCTGTTCACCGCGTTTTTGCGGTAGCGATTTATCTTACCTTGCGCTGTAACGATCTTGTTTTTACTACCTAGATAAGTATCATTGCAGCTGTGCTTGGCGTCTTATTTTTTTACCGATACTTTTTTTCACCTGTGCTCTCCGCAATTATCCAATATATACATGTATCAATCTCGTACGTATGTAATGAAGTTATTATTATCCTCACAAAGAGAAAGAAGAAAAAAATTTAGCCGTGCGATTGCCAACGTTTCGATATCTTTTACATATGTCGAGAATACATGTGCAATATATATGCGTTTTTCATTTCGTAAGAGGACTCACCGGTACGCGACGACCCCTAAATAATTCTTTCCCTGGCCTAAACAAGTTAATATTAACTCGACAGCACAGCCGAGCGGAGGGAGAACCCGTACAGGTCTCCAACAGTTTCGCGTGCACTTCGTTAAGGTTACCGTGCTCCTTCTAAGGGCAACGATTTGCTTAGCGAATTAAAGCGTCGTCTACAATGAGACTTAAATCTTAAGTCTCAGTGTAGACGCCGCTTAATTGGAAGTAAATTTCGTATTTCAACGCCGGAGAATTGGCCGCGATTGACGCAAGTATACGAGCGCGAGACCTGCGCGCGACCTTTTTTTTTTCGCAAATCAATCTCATCGAGCAAGCCAGTCGAGCGCGACTGATCCGTTTCGCAACTTTGGCGCATACACCGCCCCCTCCGACTCCCGTCGTCGTTTCTCACTCCTCCCTCGCCCTGCGTCGTTCTGCGTCTCGACCTTACCTCCGCGCGTGTAGTAATAGGCTTTAAACACAATGAAAAGGAACAGGGAACAGAGAATAAGAATTTCAACCCATCAGAAACCGTGTATACTTACACGATTTCTGATGGGTTGAAATTCTTATTCTCTGTTCCCTGTTCCTATTCCTTTTCATTGTGTTTAAGGCTTTACGCACGCAATATCTTGTCCTTTATCTCTTTCCTTCTAATTTGTTAGTTCTCCTGGCGAGCGGTGCGACGCAACAATTGCGAGCGCGTGTCAGGGCGTACGTCATCGTGATCCAGATTCGGGGAAGCGCGCGGCAGCGAAGTAAACATGACAGGACGGAGCCGATGTACAGCCGCTCTAAGACCACGTGGCGAGAAGGCCGTGCGTGCGTGGGCGAAGGATGATGATGATGAGGATGACGATGACGGGACAACACGCGCGCGACGCTAAGCGCATGTAATACTACTCGAGGAGTAGCGGCGAAGGAGGGAAGAAGGCCGGGGCACTTCTCTCACGGGCATTCGCGTATCGAGGCCACAGGGGCTCCGCGAGAGTGTATCTCTCTCTCTCTCTCTCTCTCCCCCTTTTCCTCCGGACGGGATGGTTACGCCGTCGTCGCCGTTGCCGTCTCTTAAACGAAAGGTCGAATCGCGCGAGAATGCGATATGAAAGTTTTGTGAAGGGAGCAGCGCGCGAGCTCGCGGGCAACCGGGAGCGCTCATTTAAATTTCACTGCGTATACGCACGTAAAGGACGGCCGGTTTTGTCCGTCTGGTTTGTCTTGCCCCGGCCGGGGCTGGTCCTGTCTCCTCACAGCTATATATCGCTCGAGATGAGATTCGCGCGAGAGCCTCCCATTGTACCGAGTCGCAACATCGGCGGTCAGCCGGTTCGGATTCTCACGCCGTCGTTCGAATACAAGGGAGATGCGAGATCGCAGATGAAGATTCCCCCGATTGAGGGGAGTTGCTCGGAAATTATCATTTTTAGCAGCCTCCAGGGAGAGGGGGGGGGGAGGAGGGACAGTGATCTCTCAATCTTCTTCGAGCCTTTCATTCATAAACATGTCCGATTTTTCTAATTGCTACCGCAGCGAAATTGAATTCGTAACATGCGTAGCGGAAAGTTCAGTACATACATGTAGCATTGATAGATAACACAATCTTGTTCTTACCCCACTTCGAGTGTGCGTCTGGAATTTTTACGGAATTTTAGTCGGGGATTCAGTTAGCAAATTATCTAGTTTAGGAAAAAAAGAAGAACAATACACGTAATCAAACTTTCGTTAAGGAAAACCTACAAGTCGGAGAATCCGTACAGCTCAAAGTTTATCAGCGTTTCTTGGTATTATCACGTATAACGTCATTGGGTATTGAGAAACAAACGCGGTACTCTATTAATCATTATTTGTGCCGCACATACATAAGGTGTGACGAATCAGACAATGCAGTGCGCCTCTGCTTCTCCCTCTTTTTAAAACTCTCTCTCTCTTTCTCTCTCGGTATCGAATTGCATTTTTCGCAATTCAAGTAAGTGCTGGAAGAGAAATAATTTTAACCACCGGCGATTTATTTCGGTACGGCTTTCCGCGTATACAAATGGTGTGCAGATAGTAGTAGATCGCCCACCCACTCGCGCTGCCAGCTTGGGATTATTTCGGTTCTTAAGGCCGCGGTAACAGCTGAGCGAGCAACGAACGAACGGTAACTGCCGCTCGTTGCATTTGTGACATTCCTGCGTGTCAGGAGTCGCCGCCGCCACCGACGACGACGAGTCATATCTCGTCGTCTATCGCCAGGTTATTATACCCGCGAGCGAGCGTTGAGAATGAGGCATTAAAAAAATGCCGATGTCTTGCGTTCATTTAAGAATCGTAAAATCAATCCGTTTATACGTCGCAGGATTTTAATTACTATTTAATTATTTGAGAATTTTGGAGATTATACTTATCATTAATTGGTACCTCAATTGGTACTTTCTCCCGGATTTATTTAGACGAGAGTTGCTGAATACACATATCGGTCATTTAAATCGTATCTTATCAATATTTTATATTATTATTTAATATAATCAACATTCAGTGACAAAAATATATTTCATATTTTTAATTAATTATACTTCATATTTTCATAAATATTTCGTATTTTTAATTTTACTCATATTTTTACCTTAAATGTAAAATATATTAAATAATAATATAAAATACTGATGAAATACGATTTAAGCGACCGGTACGTATTCGACTTTCCCCTACATCGTTTTGCAATTCTTCTTTTAACAAATCTTTCTCGGATTCACGAGATTCATCCTACATGATTGTCGTTCGATTCGTATGAAAGCTCGAATAAAACTTACGCATAAATTTCATATAAAATCTGTCGTTTATGAATAGGAATATGCGAAAGATGCGCTACTTGAACATTGGCTACCGCAGGCGAGAGATTCCGGAGGGTCAACGGAGATTCATCTCGCATGAAATATCTGCGAGTTTGCGAACCGTGCCTTAAGTATCGTCGTTTATGAACAAGAGTATGCGAATAATTCGTTGCCTTGATACTTCCTACCGCATACGAAATTCCGAAGAATAAGAAACAACGAAAGAGAGAGAGAAAGATAGAGAAAGAGAAAGACGACAGAAGAGCATCATGATAAAAAATTACGAGCAATTACAGTCGTCGGTCGGCCACGTATCGCTGACGCAAAATACGTTGAATTCACTAATGAGTCTTATCTCCTCAATTTACACGTCGCCGAGCAGAATATTATAATCTCGATTTATTATTAGTATTATTTTCGCCATAACCTCACCGCGTTATGTCCGTCATCCATCAACGGCATCCCGTAATCAGTGATTTATGAAGAA